GCTGTACGCCAACACGCCCGGCCACCGGCGCAAGTCGATGACTTTCAACCTGGCCTCGCTGCAGGCGCCCACCATTGTGCCGCGACTCAACGCGGCCGCCGAGGCACGCATGTCGGTCGGCGGCGGGGCCAAGGACGGCGCCGCTCGACCTGGTTCAAGCCTGGGCAGCAGCCGACCTGCTTCAAGGACGGGCGGCTTGGGTACTGGGCCGCATCAGGACGGCGCGGCCCCTCGCCTCGTCCGCCCCCGCACGGCCGGCGGCACCATGGGTCGCGGTGGCGGCGCAGCCCCGCCGCCGCCTTCGAGCTTCAAGACGCCCGCCGTCAAGTAGCCGCGTCACGCGCTCGCTCGGTCCAGCCTGCAAGCAGCAAGACCGGGGTCCGGTGGGACGGTAAGTTTCGCCCGCAAGCATCCCGTCCCCCCTCGTCACCGAGCCCGCAAGCCCGTCTTCCCCACCCCTCGCTCCACCTCGCCTCGTCACGGTCTCGACATGGTCTTTCTCGCCCCGCAACACTGCCCCATCTCAGAGAGAAAGGAAGAGAGAGAGAGGAGCGACGGGGCCAAAGGCCGGTCCTTTGCCCTCGTCCGCCCCCTCTCTCGATCGCCCGGTCTCTTTCGCCCCTCTTCCCTCATGCACCGCTCCGTCTCGCCTTCAGCACGGAACACGAGCGAGGGGGGGACGAAACCGGACGGACTTGATCTGACCGTCTCTCGTCTTTTCCCCCCTCCTCCTTTCCCTTTCCCCCACACGGCGCCGCACGACGCCGCCTTCTGTATCTCTACCGACCTGACCCTTGCCATCCCGTCCTCTTGACACACACACACACACACACCACACACAGGGCCGCCGCAGCCGCCGCCGCTGCCGACGACAGCGACGACGCGGGGAGGAGGAGGAGGGGGGAAAGCGATTGTCCATGGATTCGTTGCATAAGGATACCGTGAGCGAGCGGGCGGCCGGACGGGAGGGCGAGAGCGGGCTAGGGTGGAAGGAGAGAGGAGGAAAGAGGGAGGATGGACGGGACTAGAGACGACAGTAGTGGTGAAAGGAGAGGAGAGGGGTCGAGGGCAAGGAGAGGATGGACGACAAAGGGGGGTCGCAAGGCGAGACGGGGCGCGGCTGGGCGGGGCGGGGCGAGATGAGGTCTCGAGACCCTCGCCACGTCGTCCCGCCGCTGCGCACCTCGATGGCGCAAGGAGCCGCAAGGGGAGGGTAGAGCCCCTCGCTCGCTCGCATGTCCCCGAGACGCACGACGATGAGAGGCTAGCAGGGGCCGGTCTGCTCGCTCTACACCCCCTCGGACCGACCCCGGCCCTGCTCCGGCCCTGCTACGGCCCCGGTGCGCAGGCCGTGGCCGCTCGCCCGCTACGCCTCGGAGAGCGTCGCCTCGATCTGGGCATTGATGAAGGCCTTCTTGGCGTCGATCGAGGTGCCATAGCGCTGCTCGAGCTTGGCGCGCAGCTGCTTCTTGGTGATCGTCGTGAGGTCGCTCTCGGCGATCAGCTGGCGGATGTCGCGCTTGATGACGTCGTCGGGCGGCAG